ATCATGTCCCCCCTATCTCTCCTGTCCTCCAGTGTCGTCAGGTTGATTTCCCTTAACCTCTCCTCGTAGGACATACCTCTTTAGCTCTGGGACTAGTCTTGTTGCAAACCTTTGCACTTTCTCTAGTTTCTTTACGTGCTTGGCTAGGTGTGGGTTCCAAACTGGTGCCGCATACTCCAATATGGGCCTAACGTATACGGTGTACAGGGTCCTGAACGATTCCTTATTAAGATGTCGGAATGCTGTTCTGAGGTTTGCTAGGCGCCCATATGCTGCAGCCTTATTTTGTGTTGATGTGCGTTCAGGAGATGTGCCTGGTGTTATATCACAGACCCCAAATCTTTTTCCTTGAGTGAGGTTGTTAGTCTCTGACACCCCCAAGACTGTACACCGTCTGCGGCCTCTTTGCCCTTCCCCAATCTTCATGACTTTGGCACCTATGGGTGGGATTGAACTCCAAGAGCCATTGCCTGACCAGGTCTGCAGCCTGTCCAGATCCCTTGTAGATCTGGCCGGTCTTCGATCGAGTGTAATCTTCTTCATCACTTTCACGTCATCTGCAAACAGGGACACCAGCTCAGATCTATACCTTCCGATCATGTCCGTGGTTCACTAAATACCAGAACAGCACTGTTCCAAGGCTGACCCCTGTCGGGACCCCGCTGGTCACAGGTGCCCACTCTGACACCTCGCCACGTAACCATTACTCGCTGCTGTCTTCCTGACAAAGTATTCCCTGATCCATTGTAGTGTCCATTTTCTCTGTTATCCCTGCTGGTCCTCCAGTTTTTGCACCAAACACTTGTGTGGAACTGGAGTGTGTCAAGACGCCTGTCTTGCAGTCCAATAAAAGCAATCCACCCCCCCTACTCCCTCTTGTTCTTACTGCTGTCACCATGTCATAGAACTCGCAGTAGTTTTGTGACACAGGATATTCCCTTCCAGAAAACCAGCTGGCTGCTGATGATGAGATCGTTTCCTTCTAGGTGTTCCACCACTCATTCTCTCTGATAATCTTTCTCTCCATAGATTTTTGCATACTATAACATGACAGTGGACACTGGACTGTAGGTTTAGTGCATCATTCTGTCTCTTTTTTTAAAGATTGGGACTACATTTGTCTGTCCTTCCATGCCTCAGTCAATCTACCCTGTTTCGATAGATGTATTGAATATTGTGTTGTGTGTGTGTGTGTGGTGTGGTTTGTGTGTGCATGAATGTGTGAGTGTATGTGTTGTGTGTTATTACAACACGTAACTAAAAATAAAATCAGGGACAAACTTCAGCACCCTTGGTAAAACAAGATCGCTCATGGACACAGGCTAAGGAATTTTGTAAATACAATGAGGAACAGGAAGAGTACCGAGGTTGAGGTGGACAAAGTGCGTGAAATTTTGAAGACCCGAATATCATACCAAGTGAGAAGGGAAAACAACGTAAAGTCCACTGAAACTGAAAAGGCCACAGATTGATGTAGACCACAGCGGTTATGTGAGGAAAGATATACGTTGTTGGCATCAAACTGAAGAAAAATTTACACATTCCTGGTAGAAAAGGGTCTCATTAGACAACGTATTAACTCAGAATATCAGGAATACCCATAGGAGCGCAGACACACGTCACTAGTTATATGAACTATTCCTTAGTAATCGTCCACCAAGCATTCATAATTCAAGCCAGCGAAGGAGGCGTTCTAGTCAAAATAATAATAATAATAATAATAATAATAAAAATAATAATAATAATAATAATAATAATAATGATAATAAAATAATAACAATAATAATAATAATAACACATCAACTAACCAATCTGATAAAGCAATGAAAAAATGTTTTTTTTAAAACGATTTTTCCAAAAAAAAAAAATAGTGGCAAAGCGAGAATATGCAGTAAAAACTCTGCAATGATAAACCAAAACACGTCACTTAAGAAACACGAGCAAAAAGAGGCCTCCCAAGAATATCTGTTGTGTACCGGAACTGGAAGCGACCAATCAACTGAGAGAGATTGTGGAGATTGTCATGCTGTTAACATTTATGAATTGTGAGAGTTTTTTTTTTCTGTGTGATGGAGTGAATGATAACAAGTGTTTCAACCAGCAATACAAAAGGTACCTCTGAAGTTATGCGGTGATAAGGTATCGTGAATTGATGAAAACTATACAGGGAAGGATAGAGACATTGTCAGAGGGGTTATTTGAGTACGTTGATGCTTGTGGTGACAAGGAGGATGAGGAGGAAGAGGAGGAGAAGGAGGAGGAGAGGATGAGGAGGAGTAGGAGGAGGAGCGCAGCAGCAGCAGCATCATGACAGGCGCCAGAAGGATGAATGAGAAAGGTTGATAAAGAATGGTGGTAGGTTTTGGTTTATTTGTGTTTTGAGTGGTGAGATGGGACGTGGTAGTAGGTAGTAGTAGTATTAAAGTAGTAGTAGTAGTAGTAGTAGTCTAGTTAGTAGTAGTGTAAATGGTTGGTGGTGGTAAGGATAATACTGAAGTGATTGATAATATGACGATGTCGACTACGTAGTCGACGATACATAAGTGGAAATCATTCCAACAGTAAACCTAACAATACTCAAAGAAGGCAGAGGCAAACTAGCCGAGCCAACACAGCTGATACAACTAACGACAACATCGGGAGAAACACCAACAGGAACGACTCTTTATAAATTCGGGTTAAAAATAATATTTAACAAGCGTATCACATTTTCCATTTTCTCTTCTCCGAGAGACGAAGATACTGTTACCACACATTTTATTAACCAATGGACGATAATTTATGATTAAAACGTTGTTTCGCATACGAACAGAAAAAAAAAAAAAAACGAAATTGCATAGAATTTGAACAATA